TGTCGCCCCTTTTTAAATCTGTCCTGGAGCAAAAATTTCTCCTAAAAAGTGAACTTCGTATAAGGAATTCTTTCCAAATGTTTTGAATTTCCCTCTGCTCTGGCCTGATCTACTTGACCTGATCACCCCTAAAGAAACGTTTAGAAAAAAATCCCTTACCCACGGAACTGCTGTAACTTTTCACTAACTTTGCCTTTGACACTTGTGACAGCTGTCGATGCTCCAGCAGAAAGCTGCAGACTTTTTCATCTTCATCTTCACTGCACAAATAATAATAAAAAAAAAACATCTACATTGATAAAGCACTCATTTACATGCAGTTTTACACTAGATGCTATGAATGCTGAAATGGTTCTCGAATGCCCCTTGAAAAAGACACAGAGTTCTGCTGGTCACAAATGTTTATTGTATATGCCCGAACGCTTATTACATGTACATTCTCTGCTGGAAAATCTTAAACTGCAATTGTTACTGAAAATCTAAAGAATGCTTACTCTTAAACCACTCTTTTCAGAAAGCATCAGATATTAAGAATCTTTCACTGTACATGCTATAAAAATGACAATGATCAAAATAGACTTAAAAGACACAAAATCTGTGACTTTAAAACTTTATTCATGATGAGAAATGCTCTCAACAGTTCCTTACATCAATTTGGAAGTTCTCAGGGTTAATGTTCACATTGCATTTTTTTCATTGTCATGTACTGGGTATAATGGTGATTACAGATTTAATTTGGGTTGCAGCATTAGGTCTACAATAACCCTGTCAGTCTGTTTTATATCATCACTCAGTATTGCTCATTACTGATACTTTTGTTTTTCTTTTCAATTTATCCCAATTATTACTTTTTTAATGCAGGGAATAATGTGTGTTGGCCAGTCTTGAATGTTTAAGACCTGAAAAGGAAAATGAACACTAATAATACGCAAGGCAAAGGTGAGCGACATTATCAGAGATCATTCTCCTGAGATAGTCTTAACCAAACATTTGAGACAGGCTGAGCATTAATTTATTCCCATTTATTAAATAGCTTTTGAGCTGCAGAGTCAAAACTAGGTTTAAAAATTAAAATTTCCAATGATTTTGTATACAATTTTACTTCATTTTGCTATATCCTTGGTACATTCCTATAAGGAGTAGTAGTAAATGATATGGAGACTGTAACATGCATGGCATGCGAGATTTCTTGTAAAACATGCGTCAACACATAAACAAACATACATATAACAAGAAAACGCATCTGCACTATTTCAAAATGCGCAGAAATATGTTAAAAATGATAGTTTTCACAACCTTATTTCACTCCCTTATTGGAGCAAAAGCTAAACAACAGCCGTCCGGTGCTGAAAGTTGTCTAAAGAAATTCCCAAGAATCGTGATGTCCTAGGACAATGTAGGACAGAATCCTTTATCTAGTGACTGTTTGCTATTACGCAACAACACGTCGACATGTATGTAATGCAGTAGCGTTTGAGTGTGCCATCATGTCAGACTCAAGCAATGCTAGCATTGATATTTTTTTCCGATCATGACAGCGATCAGTTGTCATGTTCATCTTATTCATTTGACAGAGAAAGTGACATGGAAGGACCTGATGAGGCACAAGAAATATTGCCTTATCAGTTCGAGACCAGAATATACTCAGTAAGAGATTTTGCAACAAGGCTGTTGGAAAGGCATGGTGGCAACCTAGAGGATCGACAACAAACACTGACTCATTTGGGATTTTTGCCCTGCCCGACATGTATTACAACACTGTATGCTCAGTGTTTGCCCCCAAAGGCTTGTGAGAAAACCCACAAGCATACTCGGGTGAGACTCGAACCCACAACCTCCTGCTTACTAGTGTAGACAGCTTAACCACTCAAACACCGAGCTTGCCGGTGTCGGCTGGCTGGTTCAAGTCAGATGTAGCAGCGGATACCGTGAACAACTATTTCCTAGGATGGAAGGACGGCAAGCTCAGTGGTCCCCAGTGCAAATTCATCCTTGGAAAAACACTGACTGGTAATGATTTTTCCTGCAGCATTATAAAAATTTGTCTTCTGAAAAGATGTAATTGTCCTACCATTGGCTATTTGATAGCTGTATTTGCTAACGCTTTGAATTACACGGTGAAAAGGATGATTGTTCGATGGCATGCGGCTCTACTCACACTTCCACATTCCCGTTGCC